GAGGAAAAAATCTCACAAATTTAAAGTTTCTTTCTCCAGTCCTCTATAGCTCAAATCTTATTGTAATAGTGAAAAATGACAAAAAGTGAAAGAGTAACTATCATGACAGGCAATTTGAAATTAGCACAAGCTGGAACAATATATTTTTGAGTTTTAAAAATGTCTATTTTTTTATAAAAGTGGGTGGTTTGGAGTATTTTTGTCATACTTATCACTTGTTTAATTCTGCTATTTATTTGTTGCAGCTTGTACTTATTTAATGATACTGTCTATTCAGAAACAGTTTACCAGTAATAGCTTGTATTATTATTGTATCAGGGCCATAAAGTAGTTTCAATATTTTAAGTTATCACAAAATTTCTCTGTAAGAGTAATATTGTGCTTCAAAACAACAGCCTCACTGCCAACCGATACATTCATCTGTCTCTAAACAACTAGCTTCTTTGTGTCTCTGTCTCTCTCTGTCTCTCTCTCTCTCTCTCTGTCTCTCTGTCTCTCTGTCTGTCTCTCTGTCTCTCTCTCTGTCTCTCTGTGTGTCTCTGTCTCTCTCTCTCTGTCTGTCTCTCTCTCTCTCTCTGACTCTCTGTCTGTCTTTCGCTGTCTCTCTGTCTCTCTGTCTCTCTGTCTCTCTCTCTCTGTCTCTCTATCTCTGTCTCTCTCTATCTCTCTGTCTCTCTCTCTCTGTCTTTCTGTGTCTCTGTCTGTCTCTCTTTCTCTGTCTCTCTCTCTCTGTCTCTCTCTCTCTGTCTCTCTGTCTCTCTGTCTCTCTCTTCTGTCTCTTCTGTCTTTCTCTGTCTGTCTGTCTCTGTCTCTGTGTCTCAGTCTCTCTAGTCTCTGTCTCTGTCTGTGGTATGAAAACGTCTACACACTGTCTAAACTCTTAAACACAGCTCTGCCCTCTTTAAATGTTACTATCCATACGTCAAAGTTTTCCATGCAGCAATCTCTATTCTTACACATGACTTCACCTCCTCGTGCTGCTGACGTTACGCCAGAGACACAGACAAGAGCCAAACGTCACACACTGGAATGATCCTCTCATTTTATCTTAATTTGGTCAGATTATCACAGATTGTCATAATCCAGACGCAGTTTGTGAAGAAAAGTTAAATACATTGAGAATTACAGGAAGTAGAGAGTTGTAAAACACTGAAATTCTACACAAAAGTTTGGCACAGTTTACACCCAAGACACAGATTTTTTCTGATACAACTTTTCTTCTATTTGTATTTGTCAGATAATCATTTTTGTGTTCATTAGAGGAGTTTTGGCCCAGTGTCCACTCCGGTATAGTTGCCAGGTAACAGTTTATCTAGGAAGTACAATTTTAAACTAAGAAATGTCCAAATTCAGAAAACAAATGTGAGTGTGTTTGCCAAAATCTTAAATCTAATGATCTCAACTGTGTTTTAGCAAATTGAGCAGTCTAACCTGAGATAACCTGACACTTTAAAAACCATGTCAGTGCTGCTAATGCTGTTCTCCCATCCATGGAATCCTGACCTTCTTACCCTGCAGTCTGTCATGTCCTCCTCTTTAACGTGGTGTGTCTTGATCCAGAGCATCCTGACTAAACCTTATGACTGACCCATATACTCACCCTGGTCGCACATTTCACCACGCACCCTCATGTTGACCAAGATTTCATGGGAATGTGAAGTGACTCAGTTAGAGGCGCTGTTTGTCTGTCATGTTGCTCAAGGAGACGCTAATCTATGAAGCAGTGTCAGCCACTTGAAGGGAGCTGATGTCTGTGCCCAGGGTTTGCTTTTTTTAATCAATTATATACAGTTGGGGTTGACAGGAAACATTTTTCTTATGTTAGATAATCGTCCTGTTGCATCGAATCCACTTGAATGTCATAAGAGGGGAGTGATAGTGTGAAGTGTCTTGCTCAAAGGCATAACTGTAGCCTGTTTTAAGTGGAGATTTGAACAGCTCGAACTTAAAATCTAAGAGTTGTGTTTTGTTTCATTCACACGTTTAACACACAAACCCTGCACATTTAGGCTGAGTTCCTCTCTCAAACTGAAAACACTCTGTTCCACATTGTGATGTCATTTAATAATACAGGAAGTGCTCCATTGTGTTTTTAAAGCCCTGGAAATGCCCATCTTAACTGAATTAAAGGTAAAAGGTAACCGCTAACTTGAAAACTAGACAATGTGGAAGAGATCCTTTTGAGCTTTTGAGATGCAGACAGACTAATAATAACGTGTTACTCAAACATGTGTGAAACAAACACAACTCCAGGTCTGGTTTGGAGGAGGTACCAACATTCTAACATGGTGTAAAATGAACAAGAGTCTATTTTGCGCAATATAGGAGCTTTAAAATGTATCTGAGTGAAGGAAACTAGCACGACCCAGAAACGTCAGGCAGCGTTGTCATCTCAATTATTATAGGTCACTGCTGAGACTGGCTTTGAAATCACTGGGGACGAAGCAGAGTTGATGGAATGTCACTTTAAAATCAACACAATTTTTCACTAAATGTGCTATACGTGCAACTATTATAGCGAGCAAACAGGAAAAGCAGGCCCTCTGTGCTGTTTGCCCACCAGTTTTATATTACTGAGATGTTTTTCCCTTGTAATTAGTGTGAGTGATGTGTTGACATATAGGCCATGTATGTATGTTACAGGGGGATCCCTCAGGGCACTGTGCTGACACCTTTAAATTTAGACTAATAGGCTAGATCATAATGACAGAGTACCCTCCTTTTTACAGAACGGTTGCACTGAATTTGATCTTGCACATAGATCTTGGTCTAAATAGGTACCTGATTACATTTTTTTAGGGCCAGACCAATATATCAGTTGGCCGATATTATACCTTGTTATATCCTACAATCCTATTAGAGATTATTGTCCTGATTTGTGGTGCTGTATCAATACTTATCTGAGGAGTAGTTTGTTTGTGATGCATCCCCAGAGTGTCATCATGTGACTCACGTGATCTTGTTTACACCAGTGTGCAACAATGAGGCGCTGGCTTTAAATTCTCGTGTCTGACCCACAAAACTGACTATAAATAAAAGTAAACTTCAGCACAGTTTACGCCAGCAACAAAACTACTGCTTGTTTTTAGTAGCGCGAGTGTGGAGAAACAACCTGTTTTCTTCCACTGACATACTGTAAAGTGACTATTGTGACTGTACATTAATATGTGAATATGTGAGCTGTGAATGGAGGTGTGAATGATCTGCATTTACGCATAATCAATTACCGCGGCGTGCAGACATTTACCGCTAATGGCGGTAGTTTGCTTACTTTGTTTACTGGCTAGAAGGTCATGAAAAAATGCCATTAGGCCGAATTACTGTCTTTAAATATGACTGTAAAGAGGCAGAATAACAGTAAATGTCACGTAAACAAACCCAATTTACAATACAGTAGAGTCAAACCTAAATTTTATAATCAGCTGAAGATTTACAGTGATTTTTTTGTAAACATCACTAAATATATGAGCTGTTTATTGACCATGAGCAGCTCCAGAGACCATTTTATTGGTTTCATATCAGATCCAAAAAAAACATATCGGTCAGGCCCCAGTTTTTAGAATTTGATGTAAAAAGTTGATGATTATAGTGTTTTTTAACATGAAGGATTGTGTAAAACAGTTTCTAACCAATAAAATGTTCCTTGCCTAACAGCCTAGCGTGAGTTACACAAATGAAGCAAATAACTGTTTTACACAAACATTTTCACAATTAAAAATAAAACCTTTTTCAAATGACTATCTTTATAATATAGAACATTTCTTTTAGCAACCAAGCTATCTTAAATAGCTTATTTTAGTGTTTCTTAAATTATAGTACTAGCAGGTATTGATACTAAAAAAAGAGTCACATTCATAGACAGAAATGAAGATTTCCTGAAGCTTTAGAATGATGTTGAGCTGTATCAGAGCAAGTAGAAGAGCACATAGACTCGTATACACATGGACCACTAAAGGTCCACTGAGGATTACACACATATAAGACCATCACATTCTCTTGTCTGTGTGTCTGTGAGTGTTTTTTATTTTCACTGTGGTATCAAAATAGACTTGGGTTTAGATCTGGTGTGAAAAGTTTGAGATCCACTGGCGTATATGCTTGCTCCACATTTCTTTTTTGTACATTGTAAACCTGTTCCGTTGGCTAACTAGTTTCCCGTTCAAATGCAACATCCTGCTTTGGCTTTCCCTTTCCCTGCATGTAGCCATGTTTGTGGACATGTAAACAGTGTCCGTGCAGTTCTCCGTGCTTCCTTGTTATGGGTTCATAGGTCACTCCTTTATTCTTCGTTCTGATAAACCGCATTGAAAGAAATGGGTGCAGTGCCATGGACTGAATAGCTCTCTGTGATATGAGACACTTGATAATGAATAACTGTTTAATATTGATTAGATAACATTTTTAAATGTGATTAAAAATACACTGTAACCTTTCAAGATGTTATTGCTTTGCCTGAAATGTTCCACAGTACAGCATAAACAGATACAGATACAAGGCTGAAATGGCTAAAACAGGTTTTCATTTTAAATTCTCAAAGAAACTGTCTGATGGAAAAGCATGGATACTATTTCAAAGGCGCTGCAACTCATTTTTATTGTCTTAAAACACAAAAACAGTTGGTTGATTTTAATTGGTTTGCAGTGGTACAAAGGTTATTCCTCACTTACCTTATGCTTTCTGAGCATCTTTAATTGTTCACCTCAATGAATTTACAAGCAATTTTCACAACTCACAATTCACGGTAATGCTGACAACAATCAGCATGCTAATAGTGCATTTCCCGATAATAATTTGAACAATAATGCACTTTATAATTAGTTACAGACAGGACATAGCAGACTTATTTTGATCTCAGGAGCTGCTTATACGACATATCTGTACTGGGGCAAGATCTGTTTAGGTACACGGAAGAACTTTAACTGATAACATTCATTTTGCACCTTTTAGAGTTTAGTAGTTTACAATAACTCTAACCCAGTGTTTGTTTTGTGTATCCACAGTTCCCGTAACAACAAGAGGAGGAGTTTGGCTACAGCGACCCCGTCTCCGACCCTGTCCAGACCTCTCTCACCTCTGCCCCTCTCCACAGGTAAACCCAGCCTCTTATATCCAGAGGGTATCAAAAGGATCGTAAATCAAATACTAATTGATACTACAACTAGATGCTCATTTGAGGAGTATTGATATTAAGAAAGTCACATTCACAGGAGAGAAGTTAACCTTTCCTGATTGTGTTTAGAATGATCTTGAGCTGTATCAGAAAAAGTATAAGGCTCCTGGATTTTTTTCTTTGCGGGCTAAAAAAAATTTGCATCCACACACGTGCCGGATCAATAAATATTCACGTCCACACGACAACGAAGCACTGAGCGAAAACGATGTAATACATAATGCCACACCTGTATGTGGCGCTGTTAACAATGATAATGATATTAATTAAAGCAAATCTTATCACCGTTTTTTAAACTTTAAGGTAATTTAACCGATTTTAGATGTATCCCAGAAATATAGCCATTTTGTTTCGCAAAAGTTAAACATAAGTCACAGAAAGAACACTTATATTCCACTCAACAGAAGCTGAACCGCATCAGCGCTCAATAGTGAGCTGTTTTTCTTGAGAGCTTTATGCAAATGAGCCATGTGGTTTTAAGTTTCATTTCTGTATAATGTGAACAAATATGCAGAAAGCTGTGTGGATAAGGAAGGCCTGCGGACACAGAAACGATGTGTCTGGACGCAGATCGTTTGATACGGTGATACGCAGATTTGTTTCAGTGTAAATGTAGTCTTTGTTATTGATCCGTGTGTATAATCTGTGATGTGTTGTTAGTATTGGCAACAGCAGCGTGTCTCAGTTGCTGGGTGATGGGAGCGGCTCTGTAGGCTACACCTGTCCCATTTTGGCAATGCTGGCAAACAGTCAGTTTGAGGGCTGCAGACTTCACTGCATCAGAGGACCCTGACGATGACGGGATCATGATGTCATCGTTTTCCAAAAGCTGCGGTTTGCTTGTCCACATGAAAACGTGATGCAGGCTTTCTCAGATTTCCCCACTCTGGAACCCGTTCTCAAAACACTCAGTTTTCGGCCACCCAAAACGCCGGCTCTGTGTGGACAAAAGGCCAAAACGAATATAAACTTCTCAGTTTTAACCAAAAAACGTTGTCGTGTGGACGGCCCCTAAGAGCACATAGACTAGTACACACCCATGGACCACTGAGGGATTAGACAGATATAAGACCACATAGGAATATAAGAGAAAGACTAGGATTTAATGTTTGATTATCTAACTAAAGAGTGTCTTTATTATCATTGTGGTGTCAGAATCTGTTGAGTATCGAGTAGTATCAAAATTGAGTTTGAAATGTTAGTATCATGACAACACTACAGTCCCTGACAAAAGTCTTGTCGCTTATCCATTTTGTAGAAACAAAAGCTTATAACCTGACTTTAAATTAATCGATTGGCTTTAGAAATGTCTCATATGAAAGCTAAAACCCTCCCAAATTATGCTCAATATACTAAAATAAATTAGCTTCACTGAAGAAAGATTGATCATTTAATGAACTCAGAAAGGTCAGATTTTGGCAAGACAAAAGTTTTGTCGCCTACAGAAAATTGAACAAATAATTTACTTCAAATACAAAAATATGTTGCATAACGTCAGTGAATGAAGTAGTGGTGCTGTGAGATCCATATTTAATATCTTGTATGACTCCATGAGCTTGAAGGACGCATCCATGCGGTTCGACAATGATTCATACAATTTGTTGATGAAGTCATCAGGAATAGCAAAGAAAGCGTCTTACATGCCTCCCAGAGTTCATCAAGATTCTTTGGTTTTGTCTTCCATGCTTCCTCTTTCATTCTACCCCAGACATGCTCAATGATGTTCATGTCTGGTGACTGGGCTGGCCACTCCTGGAGCACCTTGATCTTCTTCACCTTGAGAAACTTTGATGTAGAGATAGAAGTATGCGATGGAGCACCATCCTGCTGCAAAATTTGACCCTTTTATGGTTGGGAATGTAAGAGGAGCTAATACTTCTTGATATTTTAGGCTATTGATATTGCCTTCCACCCTGCAAATGTCTCGCACACCCCCATACTGGATGTAACCCCAGAACAGGATTTTTCTGCCACCAAACTTAACTGTTTTCTGGGTGAATCTTGGATCCATGTGGCTCCAGTAGGTCTCCTGCAATATTTGTGGCAGCTGTGATGTAATTCAAACGAGGATTCATCTGAGAAATCCACCTTCTGCCACTTTTCCAGTGTCCATCCTTTTAACAGGCTGTGGGCCTGTTTTTTAATTGCCTTTTGTTTAGTGCTGGTTTCTGTGCAGTGATTGGACCATGGAGGCCATTTCGAGACAGAATTCTACAAACTGTTGTGGTTGACACAGGGACTTGAGGTGACCAGGTCTGGTGGAGCTCTGCTGCAGTGGAAAAGGGGCCTTGGATTTTTGAATCAACAAACGGTCCTCCCGAGCAGTTGTCTTGCGGCTTCTGCCGGACCTGGGCTTGTCAAAAACATCTCCAGTCATTTCAGATCTTTTTCTTGTTCTTTGTACTTGACGCTGAGACACATTGAAGGTGTCACCACCTCAGCAGTGGATCTGGTCTTCAGCCTCTTGATAATTAACGCTTTGGTCTCAGGGTGGATCTTGGGCATGTTGTCAGAGGTCAAGTTGCAGTTGATGTGAAGGTCTGGTGTGCTGGGTTCTTTTTATACACACCCACTAATTGATTGATCAGTAACTGATCACAGGTGAGGCTGTAATCTAGGATTGGGTGCATCATATGACAAGGCCACAAGACTTTTGTCTTGCCAAAATCTGACCTTTCTGTGTTCATTAAATGATCAATCTTTCTTCAGTGAAGCAAATTTATTTTAGTATATTGAGCATAATTTGGGAGGGTTTTAGCTTTCATATGAGACATTTCTAAAACCAATCAATTAATTTAAAGTCAGGTTATAAGCTTTTGTTTCTACAAAATGGATAAGCGACAAGACTTTTGTCAGGGACTGTACATCCTTTCCGACTGACTGGATGTGTGCGTGACTAGAATGAGGAGAGTTTGAGAGCTCCGCTGTTGCCTTTGGAGCCCGGGGCCTGGTTGTTTTCAAGTCATATGTCATAAGACTAACACCAGCTTTCCCACGATTTATTAGTGTTGGAGCTTTAGGGAGGAATTGTAGGAATCCTGTAGTTTAAAATTCATATTTTGGATTTTAGAACACAAAAGCAAAAAAAAAAAAAAAAAAAAAGCTTACATTTTGACAATATTAACCAAGATTAATTGAAGAATTCATTATTGTCTCATAATTAGTGATGCAATTCCTAGATCCAATCATGATTTTTGACCTATTTTATTTCAAAAGGAGATTGTGCAGAATACATTTTTACCTTTTTACTATTTGTGATGTAATATAAATTTTCAGTAAAGTTTCTCTATAATTCAAAAGAACTTATAAAGGGCAAAATCAAATCAGTGATTCTATTGTATAAAAAAAAGCACATGTTTAGTAAACAATGTACAATTAAAACTGTCAGTTTGATCAGAAAAAAGGAGTGAAAGGAGTACAGAAATACTGAAGTATTTTGGTTTGGTTATAAAGCCGTACGTATGTGATAATGATATGGAGGCTTGACACACACATGTATTAGCTCCACAGTGGATAATTTATGGACAGACTTGCTCAGGGAGTGGCACTGCCCTCTGAGGCTGCCATCCAATCCCTCTGTGCCCTCCTCACACACACACACCGATCATCACCAAGCTTCAGCTGCTATGCTCTTATACCAGTTTCATATCGACTTATCTTCCTGCATTGTGTCATTTTTCACTCTCTACAGCTCTTTTATTAAGCATATTTCAATATTTTATACAGTCATCACTTGAACTAAAATGATGTGAACAACCCCACCTACCAAAAAATCAGAGTGTGTACAGTATGTACACACACACACACACATATACATATATACATATATATATATATATATAAGTTGAGTATACAGTAAACAGTTATACTACACATACATGGTAAGTGTGTACTGTATGTAGCAGTTTTTGACAAAGACATTAGAACTGCAACTGAACCTGAGTTGCCAGTTCCTTAACCTGGATATAGACAGAGGACACATACAAGTTTTTCCTCATTCTCTGTATATGAACAGACCATAACTGGAGTGAAAGATCAAAACCTCCAGAATTCACTCACTGAGCTACAGAGGCTGCACTAGCACTTATGAACACTAGGCAGTGAGCACTTGGGTTTAGGTAGTGAGGATTCAAATCAGAGAGAGGCATTTTATGTTTAAACCAACTGGATTTCACTAGTGAATCTGGCAACACAAATGCAGGACTTGTGTGAGGCTCATTCTGCTCTAACTGGATAATCATCTTGAGCCAAAAGACCAAATTATAACAAAAACACTTTAGCTATCACATCCAATGTTTTTCTCATTAAGAATAAATCTAGTAGAATTGTTATTTTTAAAAGCTAAGTGTATTTGATTCCATGTCTACCTCATCTGCAGACAAGGTTCTCTCATGTTTATGGACTTTCAGATCCAGTTCTTACATAGTGTTTCTTTAATCATGTATTTGTCTCCTTTGCAGCTGGCAGCAGTCCTTCAGAAAGTCCCAGGAATGTCTCTGCCAGCTCATCTGCCAACTTCCAATTTGCCCGCAGGTAATGTGCCCAGTTGTTATAATGAGATTGTATTGTAATAAGAAGCTCGGTGGAATCTTTTGTGCTTTTGGACTGTTGCTTGCTTTGGTAATTAGGGCAGTTAGGATTATAAAGGCAGCCAACTGCTACAGCCAGCTGGATTCATGCGTTTCCCCCTCATCAACTGCATGCAGGGTGTTACAGACTGGCTTATTATGCAGGATTCTCATCCAAAAGATGACCATAATATCATATGGTCATGTGGTATATACCACATACAGGAAATCGATATGATTTAAAAGTGCACTACCTAATTTTTACCATCTTAAAAACATGAAAAATAAAATGAGTTCATTTTAAACAGTTTGCAGTGTTATTCCTCACTTATGCATTCACAGCATCCAAATTATTCACCGCGCTAAGTTTACAAGCACTTTTTACAACTTTCAGACCAGAGCAGAGTTTGTATTAAAAATGTGTACTTGTGTTGTGATGATTGTTACAGTAAGTATTCAAAACTTTTTAGTTGAAAAGTTCCCAGGTGGCACATGGCACTTTGTCCTCTGTATTGTTCAATTCGATTAAATTTATTCTTACTAAAACCAAAAGAAAGGATGAATGAAGAATATCTTCAAATAATAAGGTAGATATTCCAAAGCCTAATTTGAACAGAAGCTGGTCCTGACCAAACAACAGCAGGACTGACCTTCACATTTTGTACAACACTAAAAATGACTCACCCAAAATGTGACCTTTTTTCTTCTTTTGAATTTCTGCCCATCTTTTTCTAGAAACATCCCACTTAAAACCCCCAAATGCTTTTCCTTATTTTGCCCATTTAGTTGTTCAAATTAATATTGTGAAACATCAGTATTAGAGCCATGTGTTGTGCCCCAGTACAGATATATTATATATGCAGCAACATATGACCACAGTGTGCTGTCTCCATCTAATCAGAAAACCTTTTATTATCCAATATCAGGAATTGCACGTTAGCATGCTAGTTGTTAGTTTTATCATCACAGCAAAACTGAAAAGGACTTATAGACCTAAACTACTGGGTTAGCAGTTTTTATGCAAAATAAGACAAGAGATTTTGATGTTTGTGGAGGAAACTTTTCAGTTGGAGGGTACATCAAATGCTTTTCTCCAGAAATGTCTGGAGATGTTTCACAGTATGGCATTAAAACTTTCTATCTTCATGGAGACCAAACCAGACCAAGTTACAGGTCAGATCTGTGGAGAGGCGACCCCGCTTACAGTCAGAATGTTTGTTTTTCTAGGTATTTTTGAGCTCTAAGATAGAGCTGTTTATTGTCACACTGTGGAACTCTTATAAACTCAACTCATCACAGTGAATAATGAGGATGCTCTGAATGCATAAGGCAAGTGAAGAATAACTCTGGACCATTCCAAGCTGTTTAAAATGAACTAGTTGCGTTTTTCATGTTTTTAGGACAGAAAAAGTCAGGTACAGTGCCTTGAATGGAGCGAGTCAGTGCACATAGCTATTACTGCTCCAATTATGACAAGACCCTCTCCTGGCCTTTCCACTGCGCTTCTAGCTCCTAAGTGCTGAAGGCTTTAGAGAACACAGAGTCCTTTAGCATTAATAAGTGCAAAAACATAACGTCCCGACAGTGTAGGGCCGTGTGCAAAGTGGAGGTGGAGGAGCTGTTTACCTTCTTATTAAAATGTGTCAGATTTGCAGGCGTTGAGAACCGGATTTATCCACATATATAAAGGCAGTGTTATAGTGACCGGGCAGATGGTAGTGCTCACGTTTAAAGGTGCATCATGCAACTTTTGTGGTGGAAAGTCTGTCAAATGCTTTTCTCCATGGAGAATTGTTCTTGCTTTGTCTGGAATGTTTCACAGTGTGGCATTAACCCTTCTAGACCGACTGGGAATATGTTTTATATAACCGTGCATAACTTTCCTTCTGGCATTATCCTTCGTCACACGCTGTGTGATGACGTAGGGAAAACAAGTGTCTAATAGGAACTTTGTTTTCCACCAAACTCATGCTCTCCGTCCATTTTGATTGGGCCAAACTTTGCCAAAGAGTGTAGTGAGTCAAAATGGTCGATGCTCTGAGCGTCTGTGTTCGTAACAATTGAAAAAGTCACTCTAAGTGCAGTTATTTCTCAAATAAATGGAAAATTACACATCTTGGCCTGTGTGATTGCACATCCCTTTCTTTTTCTATTTGAAAGGTTTATTTTAGTCCAGATGTCCAAATCCAAATGTAATAAACCCCATGGAAATGCAGGAAGTGATGCGACTCTGTGCCCTGGACCTGACCCGAGCTGTTTCTATGACCTGCACTACTCAAGTCGACCTCGCTCACAGTCAGAATGTCTGTTTTTCTGGTATTTTTGAGCTATAAATCCACCTGTAATTGACCAAAATGTAAGGTCGATCTGTTTAATGTCATACTGCGGAACATTCCAAGCAGATCAATGACATCTCCATAGAAACAAGCAGGTGATGGACCCTCCACCAGAAAAGTTACACAATGCACCTTTTGGAAGTTTGACAAAATCACCAAATATTACACATTTCCTCCCTTTTTGCCATACTTTTAGAAGATTTAACCTTTTGAAACTAAAACCCATTATACTTTGAAGGAGTTTCCGAGTCCTTATCTCTGCTGCCATTAGCTCCGCACTGCTTTTTGGCATATTGCACCACGGGGCTCTAAGCATGACTCATCACATTTCCAGAGCTGGTTCCTGCTGCTGTGCCTGCATTCTGAAACTCCTCTGGGTGCGTTTTGCGTTCACATCAGCTTTCAAAATGCTTTTTTGGAGTTCACTGTGTCATCATGTCATTACCAAGAGCTAGAACAGAATCACAGAGGCTCTTGCATGCTGTTACACAGCCCGATTATGTAAATGGAAAAGATGGAAAGAACAGCGCGGTTAAACGTCCTGTATCACACAAAACTGACTCTTGTGAGCTTAAAAGTGCATGCTGTCACTTTTCTGGTGGAGGGTCCATCAAATGCTTTTCTCCATGGGGCTGTTACAGCTTTACCCTGATTATGTTTATTAAGGTATTTTTAAGCTATGAAAAACCTGTAATGGAACAAATGTGAGGGAGATATGTTTAATGCCCTACTGTGGATATCTCCATGGAGACGAGGAAGTAGTGGACCCTCCACCTTAGAAGTTACATATTGCACTTTTAAGTCATGTTCTAATGCTGTTACCTCATCAAAAACACACCTGGAGTTGTGCTTTGTTTGATTCACACATGTTTGAGTAACTCTTTATTATAAGTCTGTGTACATCTCCAAAGCTCAAAATGCACTGTTCCACCTTGTGATGTCATGAAGTGGTAGTTTTCAAGTTAACATCTTCATTTTACCTTTAGTTCAATAGAGATGGGCAATTACAGGGCAGAAATGATACTAATGAATCTTCATGAGTGGGCTTTAAAACACAGCAGAGCACTTCCTGTATCACCACTTGACATCACAAGGTTGAACAGTGTTTTATGTGTGAGAGAAGAACTCAGCCTAAATCTGCAGGATTTGTGTGTTAAACATGTGTGAATGAAATAAACACATCCAGAAGAATTGACAAAAAGACTGAAATCTGAACTGACAAACTAATAGAAGAATCACATTTCAGAACATGTTTGTACAGATCTAAACTACAGGGTTAGCAGCTTTTATGCACAATAAGACAGGAGATTTTGTTGTTTGTTGGGGAAATTATAGTATTTCAAAATTACAGACATTGCGATTTGCCAATTGGGCCCATTTAAAGGTGCATTGTGTAACTTTTCTGGTGGAGGGTCCATCAAATGCATTTCTGCATGGAGATGTTACTGCTTGTTTGGAATGTTTCACAGTATGGCATTAAAACCCTTTTCATCTTCATGGAGGCAAAACCAGGTCAAGTTACAGGTCAGATCTGTGGAGAGGCGACCCCACTCACAGTCACAATGTCAGTTTTTTGAGGTATTTTTGAGCTCTAAAACCACCTGTAATTGAATAAATGTAAAGTAGAGCTGTTTAATGTCACACTGTGGAACATTCCAGACAAAGCAATAACATCTCAATGGAGAAAAGCATTTGATGGACCCTCCACCAGAAAAATTGGACAATGCACCTTTAAAAATTTAATTAATAACAGTTTCAGTTGAGATTAGGGATGGGCATTCGATGAAATTTTCTTAATCAATCGTCAGAAGAATTAACGATCGATTATAGATTAATCATTAACTTTTTATATTTAAATGATCATCATTATTATTACTATCTGCACTACTAATCTGCATAAATAAATTCAACTTTATGACATATAAACCATAAACACTTTAGAGCCACATCAATCCGTTTGACATTGTAATGTTAAACATATTATAATCTATAATATTCATTATATTATAATTCAACTCTCACAGAAACGAAACTTAAAACCACATTGCTAATTTGCATAAACTCAGCGAAGATAAAAATACAGCTCTTGTGTCGCTGATGCGGTCAATTTCTGTTGGATTAAAAGACGTGACTCAGGTGAATACAGGTTAGTGTGACCAGATTTGTGTTTGTCAAAACCAGGACAGCGTACGGGGGGAGGGAGGTGGGGACTCGTCATCGACATTGAGCGACTCTCACCTGGCAAAGCTTTTTTCCACTGGACACCGAAACATATGTACTTGCTTTGTACACTTTGCACATGGCCTCACACTTGTCCCGAACGGAAATGGAATTTCTTGTACAAGTCATCGTTGCACATCGTTCGCATTTGTGCTTCGGTACGTTGCAGACTGACCGACAGACCCTGTTTGGTCACACTATGCACAGCAACCTACATTTGGTTTGTCGATTAAAATGAACGTAATCTATGAAATTCTTAATGATCAATTATCGATTAATCGACTAATCATGCCCATCCCTAGTTGAGATGAATCTTGCAGGCCTACAAACTAACACAGAAAAGCAGAGCCTTCCTCCACACTCTTATATTCTGGGCCTCATTATTATGCAAATGGAAAAGATGAAAAGAACAACGTGATTAAGTCCTGCACAAATTAAACTGCTTTTTCCGAACCCAAAGGTGAAAATGGAGTTGACATTTGCCCCCGAGACAAAACCAGAAATTGATTTTTGAGACCGTTTCTAATCTCCCAGCCCCTAAGCTTCCACAAGAGGAGAAAAACGTCTAAATGGCAGTAATCCTCGCTGAAATCCTGGGGATATTTCATCAGAGCATGTCCCAAAGATATGGTTTATGGATGAAAACATTGAATTATGGGAGAATTATTGTTATTGGCTTGAGACAGACGCTGAAGCTGCACAAAGGGACTCCAATTTAAAATGGTTGGGCTGTAGAATGAAAACAAAACACAGATTCAGTCCATATTTGTGTTTGTTGTGAGCAAAGAATGAAAGTGACAGAAACTAAAATGGGAAATCCCTAATCTGACTAATGTGATTAAAGTGTCCATATTATGCTATTTTCTGATCTGTGTTCTAATGATGTTTCCTCATCACAAACAGAACTGGAGTTGTGTTTTGTTTCATTCACATGTTAAACACACAAACTCTGCATCTTTAGGTGTTTTTAGGAGTTCTTCTCTCAAATCGAAAGTATTCTGTTCCACCTTGTGATGTCATGTGGTAATACAAGAAGTGCTCCACTGTGTTTTTAAACTCCATACATCACTAGAATCATTTGGATGATTTCAGCCCTGGATTTGCCGATCTGTACTGAGCAAAAAGTCAAACGTAGCTGTCAACTTCAAAACTACAGCTTCATGACATCACAAGGTGCAACAGAGCTTTTGGAGCTTTGGCGATGTAGACAGACTAATAATAAAAGGTTACTCAAACATGTGTGAGTGAAACAAAACACAACTCCAGGCATATTTTTTGATGAGGGACCATTATAACGTGGTTTAAAGCTCATGAAAGTCCATTTTGGTGTAATGTAGGTATGTACCTTTTAATATTGCAATAGGTACAGGAAAAATATTGGTACAGAAAACCAGGTATCGTTTAAGTACTAGGAATGCACTGATACAATACTGGTATCGGGTATTGTTTCTGATATTGAAAATGTTCATGGATTGGATAGCGATTGTTTTCCCATTTTGGTCTATAAACTGGTTGAATAACTGGTATAATTTACTGGTCATTGTTGTCTCAAAGTATCAGTATTGGAACTGAAAAAGCTCTATTGGTATATTATTTTTATTTGCTTGTGTTGTGATTGTAATGTCTTTCTTATTCTGTAAAGAGATCATCCCATACAATAAACTTCCCTTCTCTTGCCTTGGTGTAACTGGTGCTTAAACAAATGGAAAGACCCTGATCTAACGCAGCCAAAACAAAAGCACACGTTGAGCTCATCATAACAGGCTCATCATAATAACAGCCCAACAGTTATCATGGTTAAGTCAGTCGTCAGTAGTCTCCAAAGGGCATTGTGGGAGCTTCTTGTGGGAGCGTCTTGTGGGAGCTTCTTGTGGGTGCTCTGTTTGTCTCACTGCAGTGTCTATCCCATCATTAAACATTGCTTATTTACTCTGTCTCTTCTGTCTCTGTTCCTCCCTCCTCCCTCCTCCCCTGTGTTTGGATCCGTGCAGCCAGCTGGCTCGCAATGAAAGGTGAGCAAACCACACTCAGGTATCAGAGCATTTGTCAGCACCGCTCAATTAACTGTTAATCTCCTGAAGAATGAGAGATGATAATGACAGTAAAGGAATATACAGTAACTAGTATTGGTTAACTTGCTTTGAGGCTGGACACAAAACTCTGTACCAAGTAGGCTTCAACCGCAAAAAAGGAAGTACTGGCTGAGTGTTTTCAGTCTGAAAGAATGCAGGCTAAATATTAGGATAGGATTTGTGTGTTAAACGTGTGAAAGAAGAACCAAAAGAGAAAGAAAAGTTTTAAGACAATAAATATGAGTCTTAAAAATATGAAAAACTAATTTATTCTAAACAGTTCTAAACAATTCTAAACAGGAATAGTCTTGATACTCAATACCAGTACTATGATAATAATAAAAACACAAGATCATTCTAAAGCACTGGTCTCCAACCTTTAACCTCCGTTGAGCTATTTTTACAATACGAAAATACCAGAGAGCTACTAGTTTTTGGAGTCACAAGAAATTGAGCATTTATAAGAGACACAGCGAGTCTTAGATGAGGTACATTTAGTTGCCTATAAAACATAAATTATTATCCATTTATTACACACAGAGTTAGGCATCAGAATGACATGTACAATGGTAAAAGGCATTTTATTCATCAAATTTTACTTATTCAGCACAATACATTTAGAAATCCCTCAGCGAGCTGCTTAGAAGAGGTTGGAGAGCTCCCGGTAGCTCCCAAGCTACAGGTTGGAGACCCCTGTTCTAAAGCTCTTAAGGAAAGGTTCATTTTTGTTCTGTGAATGTGACCTTTTTAATATGGATACCTGCTCAAATGAGAATCTAGGTTTGAAAGTAGTTTTAGTGTCAATTAGCATCTGATTTTTGATACTTTTGACAAAAAATTTTGAGATGAATTAATTATGATCTGTAAATTAATCTAATTAATCTCTTTTTTAATCTTACCTAAAAATTGCTGAGAAAAGCCTTCAACTTGACGTATTTTCATTTGAATTCATTATTACATTATTTTCATACGATCATTAACGTTTTTATGTAAGTATCATCATTATTACTATGACTAATCTGCATAAATAAACTCAACTTTACAACATATAAACTATCACCACTCTAGAGCCACATCAGCCCGTTTGACATTATAAGGTGTTTAATGCAGTTTTGTGCAAGTCTCACAGAAACAAAACTTAAAACCTCATGGCATAATTTGCATAAACTAAGCAGAGAAAGAGCGCTGATCCGGTTCAGCTTCTACTAAAGGACACGACTCAGTGGAATATAGATGTTCTCTCTGTAATTAATTAATCGCAATTAATGCGATAATTTGACACCCCTAGTTTTGACAACCCTCCTCCTCTCCTGATTTATTTTTTTTATGTAATGTTATGTTGAAAGTCAGTGAATCCTGTTTTTCTTCCTCAACATTTATTTCTCTAAATACTGTATGTCCATGTTGTGTTCACAGACCTGATGGCAGGAGATGGTCCGTGGCCTCCGTTCCTTCATCTGGATACTGCACCAACGCTCCCAGCTCTTCTGTTTCTGTAAGATCACGCTTCATAAAGCTGGCTTTTCACATCTCTCTGAGTCCAGACGATATATCCAAACAATATATATGTTCTGGGGCAAAGCACACAACAAACCTTTAATAATTTAAAACAAAACCCAGGAGTAGTTAAGATCTAAACCGGGTGATGACAGTGGGACTAGACTGAAACCAGACTAGGAGTTCTAAGACTAATTCTCAGGTCTAAGGTCTGGGTCTTATACTCTGCTAAAACAGGTCTAGTCACATGCCAACCTGAACTACTATAAAGCTAAAACAGGGGCCCTTGAACTTTTAAGTAGCACCTGAATAATGGCCTATATCCTTCACTCACGCTACATTTTGCTGGTGCCCTGGGATCGTATTGTACTTAAGAATTTGCATCTGTTCATGTGTGGTGACTTGTAAACACAGGCTTCTGACTGACTCATCCCACAAACTCTGCCTTACAAGGATATAAAGCTGTCCACGATGACGGATTTATGAGTTTAGTGAAAGTTACCCTAAAGTAGATCTGAAGGAAGCCGTCATCACTCTCAGAGACAAACAGCAGGGGGACACACTCAGAATATACTGCCTCAATCTGCTTTTGGTTGGGGGGCCGTCACCTCTTTGTTTCTATGGATGTGTCATTGTTCTGCCTGGAATGTTCCACAGTGTGACATTAAACAGCTCTACCTTGCATTTATTCAGTTACAGGTGGTTTTATAGCTCAAAATTGCCTCGATAAACAGACATTCTGACTGTGTGTGGTCGGCTCTCCACAGATCTGACCTGTAAGTTGGTCCGGTTTGATCTCCATGAAAATAGAAAGACTTAATGCCATACTGTGAAACATTCATGACAAAGCAACAACATCTTCACCAGAAAGTTACACAGTGCAGCTTTAAATGTGCAAAAGTCAAATGTAATTGTGCCTGCAATGGTTTACATTTAGAAATTAATTTCATTTTTTTGTATTATTCAGCTTGCCTTGTCTATTGCATGACAGGAGTAGGGCAAGAGGAGTAGAAGAAGAGAGGGGTAGGGCAAGAGGAGTAGGGCAGAGAGGAGTAGAAGAAGAGAGGGGTAGGGCAAGAGGAGTAGGGCAGAGAGGAGTAGAAGAAGAGAGGGGTAGGGCAAGAGGAGTAGGGCAGAGAGGAGTAGAAGAAGACAGGAGTAGGCAAGAGAGAAGTAGGGCAAGAGGAGTAGGGCCGAGAGGAGTAGGCAAGAGAGAAGTAGGGCAAGAGAAGTAGTGCAAGAGAGAAGTAGTGCAAGAGGAGTAGAGAAGAGAGGAGTAGAGAAGAGAGTAGTAGGGCAAGAAAGAAGGAGGACAAGAGGAGTAGGGAAGAGAGGAGAAGAGGAGTGGGGCAAGAGGAGTAGGGAAGACTAGTAGGGTAGAAGTAGTGCAAGAGAGGAGTAGGGTAAAAGAGGAATAAGGAGAGAGGAGTGGGATGGCAGAAGAGAAGGAGAGCGAGAGAGGGGAAGAGCAAGAGAAGATATTTCTTGTGTTCCCTTTGTATGACTCAGAGTAAGTCAGTCCTGTTTCCTCTGATGAGCCACACTTGGATCACCAGCTCTCGGCCAAACCACAGGAAATGAACCCCTCCAAACACTCTGAGCCGGAGACGTCCGAGGAGGCATTTATGTGAGGGCCGCGCAATGTAACTTAGAAAGAGCAGTGTTTCAATAATGTCTGACTCTATAGACTGAATATAAATGGACACAGCTAACGTGCCAGCCTCTGCGTTCCAAATAGGAAGTGAGTGTGGGCGTGAAGCAGTTCCTTTGAGGTCTGAGGTCAAATATGATCCCTGGTTGCAGATTGGCCTGCCGGCCTCGATTAGCTTCATTTGGCTGTGAGACTTCCTCAGTCCTGTTCACAATTAGGAATGTAACAGTAACCGACATATCACAAATTCATATCATCAAAAGTCTCAAATCTCAAGTTTCTGTGCTTAAATTTATTGTTATGGTGCAGCAACATCTAAAAGAAACAGAGGGAACTACATAGACCATGATCCTTTGCTCAATTTTAGTCCAGTTTACACAATTAACTGTTATCAAGCACTTTTAAATCTTAACTCTTAAATCTCAGAACCAAAGGCTTGTCAAGGCATTTTTAAATGGAAAAGTATATTCACAATTTTGTTAACCTCCACAAAATATTGCAAAAAATATCGTACCGTGAGATTCATATCATGAAAATATCATTCTGAGAAATTTGGATATCGTTACATTCCTATTCACATGTATGTATGGAAAATAAAACGATCAGAAAGGCAGATTTTATTAAGGGAGATTTTTTTCTGCATTAGATTTGGGGAGGGACGTGTTTTTATTTTTTTCAGTTTCACTCAGTTTGACGAGTGAATGAAGACAAGTGTATTTTTTGTTTTAAATTAACTGAACTTGTTGTGCCAAGAAGTGGATTAAAATATCAATACAAATAAGCAGTGTTGGGAAGGTTACTTTTAAAATGTATTCCCCTACAGATTACAGATTACATACCCCAGAATGTAGTTTGTAACGTAATCCAATAAATTACTTAAAGTGAGTAACGTAATCTGAATACTTTGGATTACTTGATTTGCAAAGACGAGAAAATCTTCACTTAAGATGTTTTGTCTTATAAAAGAGTTCGAGACTTAACCGCATTAAAAATATTATTGATAAAGACGAGGAGACACATCCACACAGTATTAAGTCCTGTTAAATCCTGTTTTAGTCCTGGTTTAGACCTGGTTTAGACCTAATTTAGATCTAGTTAAGATCTAGTTTAGACCTGGTTTTAGTCCTGTGTTAGTCCTGGTTTTAAACCTGTTTTAGATCTAGTTTAGACCTGGTTTTAGTCCTGATTTTAGTCCTGGTTTAGACCTGGTGGTTAAGATCTAGTTTAGACCTGGTTTAGTTTCTGGCAATGAGTGGAATTACAGAAAAAAAAGAAGAAAAAAAGGGGAATATAGCCCAGAATGTAAAAACAGGAAAACAGGAAAATACCTACCTGTGTAATCCATTTATTTCAACAAAGTAACTGTAATCCAATTACCACTCACTTAAACAGTAACTGTAATTGAATACAGTTACTCATAATTTGTACTCTGATTACGTAACTCTAGTACGTGTAATCTGTTACTCCCCAACACTGCAAATAAGCCATACAAAACAGTTATCTCTTTCTTCCCCCTTAGATCATGGACTAAGGTTAAAGTTAGAGAATATGATTTGTTCACATTAGCAGTGACGCACACTTCTTGTATTGATTTCAAAATCCCATAAATCCTCATTGAGTGACAAATTCTTCCTTTCTGTGACTGATTTGTCCCTAGGCCCTAATGCAAAGAAAAGGCAGGAAGTACATGCCTGAGTATGACTGGTGTGGGCTCTGAAACAATAGCTGTCTCATAACGTTAAATAACAGACTTTGTGTGCCTGATTTTGGGCTCACATGTACAAGTGATTATGTTGTATGGCCACAGTGAGACTTTTTAATGGATGTGAATAAGAAAAAAAATAATGCAGTGCTTAAAGTGCACTATTATATATTGTTGTTTCCTCATCAAAAACATACCTGAAGTTGTGTTTCTGAGTTCTTCCCTCAAACTGAAAACCACCTTGTGATGTCATGTGGCAATACAGGAAGTGCTCTACTGTGTTTTTAAATTCCATACACTTTTACTAGAATCATTTATATAATTTCAGCCCTGGAATTGCAAATCTGCTGAACAAAAAGTAAAAGGTACAGTATTTTCCGGGCTATTAGTCGCTCTGCATTATAAGACACACTGTCATTAAATGGTCTATTTTCAAACTTTTTTCACAAATAAACTGCACCGGACTTTAAATGAAACACAACAGTGATGGGTGAGTGGTTTTGTTTGTTCAGTTGTGGCGTGTAGGGAGGGTGCTGTCTGGGACCGCCGGATTGTCGGAGTGTTCACAGTGACTCAGTTGTTCAGTTGTGTCTAGAAGTGGCACATTGCACTCGCTTTTTCGGTTCGTTCCTCCGTTTCGTTCTTCGTCGGCGTGGAGTGATGAGTGTGTCTGTGGGTGTGTTTGGCTGTGTGGTCTCTGTCTGCTGTGTGTTTGTGTGTTCTGCGGGTGGTGCGGCTTTGCAGTTTACTGAAGTCGTGCTGGGACACCTGAGTGGATTCGTGTATAGGGCGCTCTGGATTGTGGCGCACGGTTGTTTTTTGATGGAGTTGGAGGCTTAAGAGCATGCCTGATAGCCCGAAAAATACGGCAGCCGTTAACTTAAAAATTATGACTTCATGACATCACAAATTGGAACAGCATTTTGAGATTCGGAGATGTAGAAAGACTAATAATAAAAGATTACTCAAACATGATTACGCATGTGTGAATGAAACAAAACACAATTCCAGGTCTGTATTTATTGAGGTAAGATCCTAACATGGTTTAAAGCTCAGGTCTCCATCCTTGTGCTGGATTTCGGCCTTTTGAAGAAAAAAAAAAAAGTAAGAGAAATCATGATTTGTGACATTTGCATAACTGGGCTTCGATTTGCTTTTAATTAACCACAATCTGCTGACCACGCTGTTGCCTTGTGTCCTTATTATGAGATAAGTCTGTTCTTTATAACCGTTGATTGGATTTATAGATTTATAGAATTATAGAGCTGCATTCAGGCCTAATCTTCATGGACGTTATTGAAGATTGACACAATGTTTATTACACAGACTCCTCGCTCCTATTACCTTGGCCGTGCAAGTCAGTTTTTTATTTGGAAAAAGAGAATGGTTTATAAGCCAGTTTTCATGTTTTTAAGACAGTAAAAATTATGTACAACACCTTTTTAAAGAGTTTTCCCATAATAAGCATTAATGAATTCTGCTTTTATCTCCCCTGGTTTCGATTTGCTTTTAGTCACTCATGTTTCTCCATTTACTCTGGTACTCTTGGATAAGGTTGGCTGGAGCCTTGCCCAGCTGCTTTGGGTGTGAGTTCTTTTGCAATCTTTTCTCGTAAGGTCCTGACACCCTACTCCCAGGGACTATT